GATGCCAAAGCAGCAAGCTTTATCGGGTCGGACGCGCATACAACGCCCTACATAAAACATTGGCCACTCCGATCCACCTGGTTGAGGTCCCAGAGATGGGAGACTGCTGTGGTCAGTGGTCACATGTCAACGTGGAGTCCACGACCCTGTCACAAACTCAGAACCAGAGAGCTAGACCGCCACCCGCAGCCATGTCGACATCAGCCTGATCAGGATTTCCTCCGCCATTTCAGTTTCAGCTCAATCAGCTGTCAACTCACACCTAGTTCCTGGAGACCTGGCCGCGCCGGACGAACGCAGATGTCTTGTTATGTGTACGAGAATGTCGACCAGGTCCGTGATCGATGACGACTACATTGTAGTCGACTGCACATGTACAGTACCGTACTATGAAGTACAAGTCATGTATGATTGTACGATCACATACGAGTCGTAGACCGTCTACATATACAGTCCATTCACAAAAAGAGGGCCCTGCCGAGGCGATTTTTCAAGATTTTATCGTACACAGTGTAGTGCTGTGAAATTTGAAATTTGAAAAAGGGTCCAAAAAGGGTACCTGAACTGGGGTTCGAACCGTACAATGCACTGTTGCGGGAAGGTCAAACGGCCTGGATTTTGATGGGTTTTCCCAATTCAGTGCTCTTGGGGCAAAACCTGGCCGAAATCCTATTCTTGCTATGGCTTGCTTTTTGGAGAAATAGACTTCAGAAACACAGTAATTGGAAGAGGATTCCATAGGGGATTGCAGAAAAAAATTCTAAAAAAACTCAACGTTTTGCCACTTATGGCCAAAAGCTAGAACTGAGTAGAAGTCCATAATTATTTTTCTGAATGGACTGTACTCTCGAGTCTGTACTACATGTAGTCGTGGCCAGGGATCATGTATACAGTATAGGATATTATCGCACCCCTGCCACCACACAGTCTGTCACCACACACTTGTGTGTGTGACTTGACAGTGACACGGTCTGGTGCAACCCTAGCATGCTTCATGCAACCCTGCTATCATTTCACAGTCATACAACACAGCACAATACAACCAGTCGCGTTCATTTTTAGAGGAACACTTCTTTCGAGCAGCTGCTGTATACGGGAGATCATGGAAGTAGCGGGACAGCTTGCTCATGTCGTCGTCGTTGATGGGGTGTTTGTGCTCCACCGCTTTGACTTCTCCCCGCTTTCTTTGGCTTCAGGAGGAAAGCCTTCAATGCAATGTTTGCGTCCTTGAACGCTGGGTCACTGTGGACGTTCATGAGCCGCTTCAACTCGACTAGATTGCGATGTATTGCGGAACGGAAACCGAGCAAGCTTGAAGCCTTGATGTAGAGTAGAACTTCACTCCAGCTTTCTTCGGACGGAATTCGACGTACCGGTATGCATGTCGCAGAATGTAAGCTAGGTCGCTTGCCGTAACCGTACTCAGGTCACAGCGACGTCCTGTGTCTTTACAATACTCGTCGAATAAGCGGAGCCATTTGTCAGTTGCCTGCTCTGTGTTTTTGTTTTTCTGCTCAGAAACGAGGCTGTCGATGGCGGCGTCGGACAGTTTTTCAAATCGGCTGTCGACAGTCTTCTCCAATACATGTACTTGGGCGTCTGCTTTCTCGACTCTCACGGAGCTTGTGAAGTATTAGTTGACTTTGCGGACGCAAGCCGGGTCCACATTCGCTTCCGCGACAGCGTCCTCGACCAATTATTATTTGGTGTGCTGCAGCAAGTCAGCAGCGACTGCTTGGCGGAGCGACTCGCAATATTCCCCAGTACACCGCCAGCCAATGACCAGATGACAATGTGGATGCACTGCAGTGCGATATTGCACCCCGGCGAGTGAGCGTGCAAATAACCTATATCTGCACGCTCACTTCGAAGCGAGCGTGCAAATAACCTATATTTGCACGCTCGCTTCGAAGTGAGCGTGCAAATAACCTATATTTGCACGCTCACTTCGAAGTGAGCGTGCAAATATAGGTTATTTGCACGCTCACTCGCCGGGGTGCAATATCGCACTGCAGTGCATCCACATTGGCTGGCGGTGTACTGGGGAATATTGCACGCTCAGTAAGGCCGCTGATTGGCTCAAACCATGGAGACACTCACGTGGGGTGCGATAAATGTATTACTGCACAAGGACCAGTGCAA